GGGAGTGTCAGAGATGGTGCGATTGGCACAGGACAGAGCGGAGTTTAGGGCTGTTGTACATAGGGTTGCTGAGTCGTAGGCGACTCGACAGCACATAACAGCAACAACAACAACAACAATTTAAAAAATAATCATGTAAAATAGGATGCTTCGATTTATAAAATCAACTTGTCTACAATTGGACTTGATGGTATAATGGTGAGTGTAACAATCTTCCAATTTGTTATTGAGTTGACAAAGTAGTGGAGATGAAATTAAATCTCTTTACAGTTTTAAAAAAATATATTTATGATATCTATGCATTGCCATAAAAAAAATAAATTTTTATATAATGTATTATATGGTAACATTGTAAATTCTACTGATATTAAGGAAAATACGAGAGAATAACACTTGAGATGGGATTGATTCACTGCAAATTGATGATTATTTTATTTGAAAATGTTAAAATAATGCTCCATATTTAAATTAAACATCACTTTCAATGTGCGGATTTCACAAGGATTCGTGAGGAGGTCTTTCCTATTTATTCATATTTAAATCTTGATATTTATGCTGACAATGTCTATTATTATTGAAGGTGTAAAAAGTACTCCCTCATTGACAGCAACTTAGTTTGTTAATACTTGGTTTTGCTTTTGCCAAAACAGCTTTAAAAGTACACACACTTTTGTTATTTCTGTTTTATGAAATAGTAGCTTTAAAGGAAGTAACATGATAAATAAATAATTTCATTATTATTCAATTCAGGTGAAGTCTCTCGGGGATCATGAATGGAATAGAACTCAGCAAATTGGAGTGCTAAGCAGCCATCATTTTGAAAGTGACACTGAAATGTCTGATATTGATGATGATGACCGAGAAACAATATTTAGCTCAATGGATCTTCTCTCTCCCAGTGGTCATTCCGATGCACAGACACTCGCCATGATGCTTCAGGAACAATTGGATGCCATAAACAAAGAAATCAGGTGAGTCCAATTATTGCTGATGTTCAATTGTTGCTAAGACTGGAATGTGGTGCTCAGGTGAGCAGCAACAGCATTCTCTGGTTGCTTGTTAGAAGTGTCGGATTTGGATTTGACCACACGGTTCCTAAATCATTATATGCACTTTCACAAGATCCACAGGAGATATTTGTTGAGATATCCACAGGAGATATCTGTTGCATAAAATTAGAGAAATACTAAATTAAGATTGTCTTTGTAAGGAATATATATGAAACGCACAAAGAATATTGATATTAAGAATGATAAAAAAATAAAAAGTAAGCATGATAAAATATTTTACAACTAATTTTATAGCCATTGTTTTAACTATAATTTTATTTATAATTTATAATTCATAGTAATGAGTCTAGCTTCCTAAAAATATTTAGATATTGTGGTGATACTCTTTTAAAACATTTTTAAACGTTTTGTATTTATTTACATAAAAAAATTGTATATATATTGTTTCATTCATATGCATTGTGTTTCATATGATCATTCCCATACATTGCATTTTATAAAACCAATCACCATTTATCTATGCCCACTATCACCTCATCATTTCAGGTCGCTGCCAGAGCTTTCCTGATTCCTTCACTCTCTCCTTCCTCCCACCAAACTCTGTGACCCTGTGATTCTCATCCCATCACTCTCAGCTCACTTGAACCCCTCATCTTCTCCTTTTGAACTTTTATGCACACGTCTTACTAGTTAGCCAAGCTCTGGTGCCTTAGTTGCAAAAAGCTACATTGCTATCATAAAGGCACATGTTTCAAATCCCACCAGCTTCTCTGAGGGAGAAGGATGGGAAATTTCCTTCAGTGCAATTAACTGCCTCTGACAACCTGCCAGACTGTCAGCTATGGGTCAGTTCTGACTCAAAGATACACACAAACAACAAAAAAAATAATGATTTTTGTATGGTATTTGCCCTTATGAGACTGAGTTAGTTCACTCAGAGTAATGGTCTCTAGCCTTTCCATATTATATAGTGTGCTCTTTCTTATAGTCTGTTTTAAGTTATTGTATTATCTGGTGCCTAAAACTTAATTGCTATCATATTTTGCACAAAATGTTGTTATCAAGATGCTTGCAACTCATAGTGACCCTATGTACAACGGCTCTAAACACTGCTCTGTCCTGTGCCAATCGCACTGTGTCCGACACACCCACCCTGATTACCCCAGTCACTGAACCAATACACCTCATAGAGGGCTTTTCCCTCCTGTGCTGTCCCTCCACTCTCCCAAGCATTATGTCCCTCTCCTAGGACCTGTCTCTCCTTACAACATGTCCAAAGTATGTCAGACAAAGCCTCAGAATCCTTGGCTCCAAGGAGCAGCCCAGTTTAACCCTCTCCAGGATGAATCTGTTTGTTTTCCTAGCAGTCTGTGGTACATTCAATACTCTTCTCCAGCACTACAACTCAAAGGCATCAATCCTTCTATCCTCCCTAGTCATTGCCCAACTCTCTGATGCATAACAAGTGATTACAAAGACCATGGCATGTATCAGATGCACCTTAGTCTCCAGAGAGACACCATTGCTCTTAAGTACCCTGGAGAGGTCCCTAATAGCAGACTGTTCCCATGGCAATGCACCTTTTAATTTCCTGGCTACTGGTGCCAAGAGTGTTGACTGTGGAGTCAAGCAAACTAAAGCTGTGAACAATCTCAACTCTGTGCCATCCATCCTGATGCTCCCAATTGGTCCAGTGGTGAGAATCTTTGTCTTCTTGATATTGAGCCTCAGTCCATATTCGAGGTTGCAGTCCTTGACTCTCTGCAGCAAGCGCTTCAGGTCCTGCTCCATTTCAGCAAGCAGGGATGTCATCTGCATAACGCAGATTGTTGATAGATCTTCCACCAATCCTGATACCACACTTCTCCTCATAGAGCCCAGCCTCCTGGATAATCTATTTTGCATACACGTTGAAAAGGTATGGAGATAGGACACATCCCTGGCATACACTCTTACCGATTTTGAACCATGCAGTGTTTCCTTGCTCTGTTCTGCGACTTCCTCTTGGTCCAAGTATAGGTTTTGCATTAGCACCACTAAGTGTTCTGGGATTCCTATTCTTCTCAGAGTCAACCACGGTTTGTTGTGATCCACACAGTCAAATGCCTTTGCATAATCAATGAAACACAGACAATCCTCTAGTATTCCCTGCTTTACTAATGCTTATTTACTAGAATTTTTCTATCCATTATAATAGACTCTCTTTTTCTGTAAAAATTAACATTTTAAACATACATATCAGACAGATCACATTAATCAATAAAAATCCTCTGCCATTTTGTTAATTATGAGTGCATATTATTAAAATAATCAAATGATAAATTAATATCTGCATTGTTTAAATATGAAAGGCCTAATTCTATTGTTGTTGTTGTTATTGTTAAATGCCGTCCAGTTGTAGGTGGCTCATAGTGACCCTACGAATGCAAGTCCTCGACACTTGCGTGCATGACTTTCATCCTTTCTCCAAGTTCATATGGTTTCCGGAGGTAAGCTATTTACGGAAATGGATGCTGCCACTCCTTTTTCCAAGCTTGTTTCAACTGGAGATCTCCACCAAACACTGTCCACCATGGGCAGCCATTATCACATTTGACACATCAGTGTCAGAGAGTGTAGCTTCACAACAACCACAAGTTCCCTCTGTACAACAAGCGGACACATTGGGACTATACAACCTAGATGACTGTTTGAACAAAAACAATGAAAAACGGGCATTAGGGCCACAGGCCCCAGGGCCCTTCAGTATCTTACCATTCCAGCACACAGAAATGCTGGCCAGCTCTGGACCAGAGTCCTCCAGTGGGGCACAGAGAAAGCCACAAGCACCTAGAGCCTTCCTTACCTGCCTCTCCCCTCGTTCTAGAGACAATAAAATATTTTGCTGACATGACTATATTATTTCACATATTTTCTCTACAGTAGGTTATTTCCAAGTATTAGACAGTCATATAAAATTGAGATTGTAAAATATATCCCACTTCAAATATTGAAAAAGGTAATTATAATACAATTTTTAACTTTTTGAATCCCAATGACAGGCACAATCTTTTTGTATTAATAATATGATGTAGGAAAATCTACTGTGTCAGGGAGAATTATTTTCTTTCAGACATCAGGAATGTATTGTTTACACACACACACACATTCTAAACAATGTCTGCTCAGACATTCATTAAACTCACTGGTTTCCTTCTAAAACTTGGTGTGCATAAATATGTTTAATTGTAGACATGAATATATTGCTCATTCTTTACTTCTGCCTTAATATGTCACTACTTTTCCACTCCACTACTAATTCTTTAAAGATCAATTCACAGTCTATCAGTTCTTCTACTAGAAAACATTTATCACAGTGCATAATGATTGGGCATGTTTAATAATTATTAATGACTAGAATGTTAGTACATGAAAAATCAAAGTTTATACCTAAGTTTAATCTGTTTTATTTCTAAACCTTAATTTTGCTTGATACATGGGCAGTGATTCGGAACCATATGTTTACTACAAAGAGGAAATTTTGAATGTTGATATATTCTTGTTTGTTTTATAGTTTGCTTTTATGGGTACACTACTTGGCTCTGTTTGTTGTACTGAGGTGACGTGGGTTGCTGTGATGCTGGAAGCTATGCCTCTGATATTTCAGATACCAACAGAATCATGTAAGGTGGGCAGGTACAAGTGGAGCTTCCAGCCTGAGATAGATTTAGAATCAGAGTAGCCACCCACTTCCGAAATAGCAGGTCCTCAAAAACACTATGAATAACAGTTAAACATTGTTACGTTTATTGCTGGAAGATGAGCCCCTCATGTTGGAAAACACAAAACAAATGAGAAGAAACAGCTTCAAACATCTGTTAATAATGAGATCATCAAATATATCAAGTATAATCCAGGAATTTTGGAAGTAATAAATTAAATGGAACACATAAAGATCAAAATCCAATGCATTAATAAAATAAGATGGACTGGTATTGGTAATTTTGAATCAGGCAGTTAAGTGATATACCATAAACGACATATTTAAGAATAGTGCTGTTGCATTAATCATCAAAGAAAAATTTTAAGATCTGTTCTGAAGTACAATACTATGAGAAATAAGATACTATCCATATACACATAAATGCAAGAATTATTAAAATAACTTATTTAACTATGCATCCACCAATAAATCCAAAGATGTAAAAATTAAGAATTTCTATAAAATTTTGCACTTTAAAATTGAACATGCACTCAAGACACATTAATAATAGTTGGTGACTGGTATGCAAAAGCTCTAAACAAACTAAAAGGACTAATAATTGGAAAATATAGACTTGATAACAAAAATTGGAATGGAAATAAGATGACAAGGTTTTGTGACATGAATAATTTATCATTGTAAGTAACTTTTTAAAAAAACATGAATGTCAATTATGCACATGTACCTCACTTGATGAACTACACAGGAATCTGATCGTCAACAGCTATGGAAAGAAATTACAAAGAAGCTCAATATTAATGTTCAAACAAAGCCAGGGACTGACTTTTTTTAGGAAACTACCATATTCCCAGTTGACAAGTTTCAACAAACACACACTGCTCCAAATGTTCTTACTACCCTATGCCAAGAATTTTGGAAGACAGCTACCTGACTGTTTGAAAAGATTCGTATTTGTTCATATGAAATCTAGTAGAATATAAAAATTATTCAACAATATCATTAATATCACAAGCAAGTAAATATTGCTGAAGAGTATTTCAAAATTAGGAGAGAATTTTATAAAAAGGGGGGGGAAGTATGGAATAGTACATAAACAGGAAACTGCCAAAAATTCAAGCTGGATTCAAATTCAAGTGGTTGTGGCATGAAGGGAATCATTGTTAACAACAGATGTATCTTGAATGAAAGCAGAGAATGCCAGAAAGATGTTTACTTGTGTTTTATTGACTGTGCAAAGGCACTTAACTGTATTGATCAT